TATTTACAAAAAATTATGTATTATTAAATGAATATAAAATTACAAATTAAACAAATAAAAGAAAGAAATTTTTATTTTTTAAAGTATTGAAATTTAAATTTAAAGTAAATACGGATGAAAGTAAGGTTAATTTTAAAAAACTCTGGTCATCAATTCACATAAAATTTAGAAAAATAAAATTTAGGAAAAATGATCTTAAATAAAAAATTTTAGCAATTTTTTTTATAAGTTTCTGAGATATTAATAAAAAACTTATTATAAATTGAAAATTATAAGTAAAGATGTTAATAATACAACAAATATTGCCTATATAAATATCACGAATACAACGATCTTTAACTATAGTAATCATTCAAAGTTAAAAATAATAATAAGAATATAAATATAATAAATAATAATAAATATAATAAATAATAATAAATATAATAAATAATAAAAAGAATAATAATAATAAAAATTTACTCGTTCTAGATACATATCCTCAGTGGAGAATACAATGCTCTCCATTGCAGCCCTAGGTGAGGGTTGGCATAATTTCCATCATGTTTTTCCTTGGGATTACAAGACTGGAGAATTGGGTAATTACACATTCAACTTGACCACAGGCTTCATCGATACTTTCGCACGCTTCGGTTGGGCTTATGATCGAAAATATGTATCTCCGGCAATGGTTCGTCGAAGAGCGAAAAGATCTGGTGATGGCAGCCATATTTGGGGTTATGGGGACGCAGATATTCCAGCTGAAGATCTCCAAGAATTGAAACTGATGGACAAAATCAAACAGTGATTATATTTTTTTAATGCTGAAATAAAAAATTAATGTAGTATTCTTTTGATTTTCGTGAAAAGTGTTACGAAATATATATATATTAAATGAACTTTTGCGAACTTTGCAAAATATATTTATATTAAATGAATTGAAACAAATTTATGAAATATGTTTTAGATGAATTGTCAATCATTTGATATTACATTTATTTTCTCGTTCAATAAATTATTGATTAATTAATTTCAAAAATATGATTTTTAGTATTCTTACAATGACTTGTAATTAAAAAATTCATAGATGTCTCAATTTTTTTTTCAGAAAATTTGTGGTAGCTTTTATTTAAAAAACTTACGTATAAATACATTATTATTAAGTTTATTATTTAATATCAAGGTAAGATTAATTATTATTTTCAACATAAAATATGTATAAAATAAATATCTTTATTTTTGAAGAGAAAAATGGTGTGATATTATATTTTGTTATTTTATATTATGTTTTGATAAATGAACTTATTTTTCTCTTTTACAAATTTCTGTTCAAATTTATTATTTACAAAAATTGATAATATGAAATGATTTTATATATATAATATATATAATTATTATATATATAATATTATATATAAAATTAAAAT